CCTGTCAGGCACCGGGCGCTCCCGAGCGCCCGGTGCCTGACAGGAAGCCCGGCGCTGGGCGGGCGGGCCGGGCCCGCGCGGGAGGAGGGTCCTTCAGGCCGGGCAGGGCCGTGACGGGAGGCCGCGGGGGCGGGCTGGGCCCGGAGCCCCGTCCCTCCGCGGCCCGGGAAGGGGAGCGCCAGGCCGGTTGAGGAACGGAACGCCCTCGCCACCAACGAGGGAAAACTCCGTGACGGCGTCCTGGTCTTAAGCTCCAGGAAGGCGGGCTGTGGCGGCGGGGCACAGCCCTACGCCCAACGGGAGGTCTTGCTGCGCTTTGACGACGGACACCCACGCGTGGCCCTGCGTGCTGTAGGAGGATGGCGTCCCGTGGCCGTGTGGCAAGGGAGACAACCGGAGGTACCGTCTGTGAGTATTTACAACAGATCTCCGATCGCTAAATTAAATATCGATTGGTGAAATCAACATCAGCGAACAAGCCCTAACGCGTGGTGTTGTGCCCAGCGGAAGGGATGCAGCCCCCAAGTAAAATGCCTGTGTGAGGGGTTTCCATCCCACGCCGAGGTCCAGCTGTGCCGATGCCACACACGGAGGAGCTCACAAGGCGGTAGGTGCGACCCCGCTATAAAAACAGCGAGAAACCGTGCCCTGGCTGGGCCCAGGCACTGACCTGACCCACTGGAGCGATGGTGTCGCAGGGGGACTCCTGGGGACAAGTCAGAAAAGCAAGAGTGCAGTTAGAGGAATGGGGGTGCTGGGGGGAAGCCGAGGCGTTTCTGATGGGAAACATGCCCTTCCAGCAGAACAGGCACCACCGGTGGGATTCTTGCTGAAGAGACACGGCCGTGGAAACCACTGCTGCTGTGCTGTATAGAAAGCTGTGCGCTGTTCCAAACTGCTGATCGTCACCTGCCAGTCAGGATTAGGTCAGGTGCTGCCCCAAAACAGGTTAAAAATAAGCACGTGCGAGAATGCTGATCAGCTTGGGCAGGGGCAGAGGTGGCTGCAGAGGAGCTGGGTTTCCCCAGGCCATGGTGCTGCACATGGTCCATCCTCTCAGCACAGGGCTGTTGGGTGCACACCCAGGTGTGCGTTCACACAGGTATTTCACATATCTGCTAATTACGTGTGCCCCATTGAGAGAAACAGCTGCACGATTCTAAGCATCTGCTTACATGGTTAAAATATGAGAGAAAAGCATACTTACTTGCCTGGGGTGCTGTGCAGTTTAAAAATATTAATTAGAACTATGATCCTCATTTGCCCATAAGCTCATGAGTGTAATTTTAAACACACAGCTAGTTAAACAAATACTTTCAAATGTGTCTACAATCAAACCATTCCACAGAGCTACTCTCACGGCACCACATCTTGTGTAAAATTAATCCACTCAGTAGAAAGTTTCGGAGTCAGGGAAATAGAGAAAAAGACCAAATTAAAGCAGATGAGAAAGAAAAGGCAGAGGTGGATGAGAAGTGCCAAGCTGAAACTCTTCCAGTGCTGTGGGGATGGCAGATCCTTTCTGGAGTGTCTGCGGGGAGCAGGTCGCGCGGGGCGTAGGAGGCACGTCACAGGCGGAGCAGGGACTCGGGTTCCCTTTCCCTGATTCTTCCTCATTATGGAGAAGCTGCGGCCGAGGGGTGGGAGGGCCCGTGCCTGAGCCCCCGAACCACCACGGGTCACCAAAGGACATTCCTCAGCGTGCCCTGGTGCTGCTTCCTGCCTTCTTATTTCTACAGTTCAGAGTGTGGCTACAGTCACGTCTTGGGGGTTCGGGTGACCCTTGTCCTCGCGGCACTACAGACTCGGGCCTTGTCTTAGCAGGCCTTTGATGGAATTATAGTAATTGTAATTCACGTTTGTCTGTCGCTCTGCATCTTAATGGATGCCTAATGGATGATGGGCCCCGGGATCAATAGTATCACGTCTTGTCTACTCGGGATGAGAGAACTGGATGTTAAAATAAATACTTCTACTATGCTAAAGATGCACAAACAATAAGCAGATCGATACAAACGGGGTTTACCTCGGGTGAGGTGGCCTCGTGCCCACACAGGGACCAGGCTGCTCTGCGGACACAGCTTCACGTGTCTGGCCGCTTTTTAAGTAGCACAATAAATCACAGAACATTTTCCACAACTAAATTCTTCCTAATCTAACCAGACAATTCTTAAACCTTTAATGGGCCCATGATGGTAAAATCATTTTGTCTGGGTTTTTGAGCAGTAATCTTCAAATTACGGGTCTGTAACAGCAATAATGGAACGTGTCATAAAAGAGTTTTTCCTCAGTGAGTCTAGTATTGTAATAAAATAATGTACCCAGTCACCTCTACATTCTGCATTAACCCTTTTTATGATAATTATGAGTAAAGTGCATCTCTCACTTCCATTAAATAATGTCCTTGCATCTCACTGACGCAGCAGACTTCACAGGACTGGAAGCAAAGCGAGAGATGCACAGTCTTTTTTAGCAGATTCTGTCCATGTCTCTAACTTGTTCTTGAGATAAAACCTACTCAGTTTGAGAATTACTTTTATGCTTCAGTGTTTATGCAAGACAAACTTGAAATTCTGAGTCCTGGTTTTCAGTCACTTTCGTGTTCACAGAAACATATGCACAAATTAGGAAATTACCTATTAAATTATATATGCATATGCTCCCGCAGCTACCGGCACAGGGCAGTTCCCAGTCCTATTACAGCATCCACACAAACACCTTGCAGACATCACCAGCAGCTCCCATTCCAGGTGCTCTGCTTCAGGAAGATGTGCAGAGCCTTTTAAAGAGTACTTTTAAAGGGACACGGGACACATCGAGTTCATCACCACCATGGCATGAGGTGTGTTTCCATGATACAAAAATCTCTGCTGGCTTTGCTGTGTCACACCGAACAGACAGACACTGTCTCTCTGGCACCTTGGTGGTTCTACCAGCAGCAAGAATGGGCATCTGTCGTGTAAACGCTCAGCGTCCCGAACAAAATCTGGAAGCAGGTCATCAGGGAGGGTGGGCTAATTGCTCCAGGTAGGAAATTATACCTGCCCTGTTCCATGCTGCTCGTGCCATTTTCCAGTATTGAACAGTGTGCAAGATTTCTAAAAAGTAAAAGCTGTCTGAAGCATGCACATGACCTCTATCAATTAATATAAAACCAAGTAACTTTTTGACAAATGAGGATGCTAATTCAGACCACGTAACTGAAAGAGATGAAGAAAACAAAAAAGAGGATAAGCACAAACCATGGAACAAAACTAATATTAGAGATTTTCAAAAGAATCAAAGCTGCTTCAACCTTCAGTTTAGCTTAAAACCATGAAAAGTCAGATTTTCTTTTGCGTAAAGAAATCCCCGTAATCCAGTATACCCTTTAACTATGACTTAGTCTGTGCAGCAGAGCTATGGATGCCAGTTGCACGTTCTGACCAAAGCACATAAATAAAAGAAGAGCCTCTGGTAAATGGGCTGGAGATTGTGAAGGGAAAATCATTGCAATAGTTGTGTGAGAAACACATCATAAGCAAGCAGCTGAATGAAGAAGACAGCAGCCCTGTGGATTCATACACACATAGTCTCCAGTGTGCCTGGAGAGAAAAGAGAAAAAAGAAAAACAGAAAGAAATAAAGAGACGGTATGAGGACGCAGCGATTTAGAGGATCAAAGCCATTTTAAGAGAGCAGAGGTACTTGTTTTCACAAAGCTTTCAAGAGGTTTTTGGGAAACCCTCCACGCATCTTAAAAGCTGGACTGTGTAACGGTGCACATTGTTATAACCCAACATCAGATGTAGACACGATGCCAAAGAGAGGCAGGGAAATATTTGTCAAAAATTGAAAGAGTCAAGGAAAATGTGAGAAAATTCCTGCCCTTGCTCTTCCTTTTCTCTGAAGGTAGTGTCATCCAGGATCCTCTTCCATATGCATCAGCCTCTTGACGGGGATCAGCAGTATCCCCTGAGCTGACATGCCTTTATTTACCCTTGGGGGCAAGGGCAGCATGGCTGCCTGCACCACTGCCCTTCCCAGAACATTCACAGGGCTGTCAAAACATCCCAGTTATTCCCTTAATTGAGTGGGAGATGAAGGTGCCAGATAGAGAAGCCAACTAAGTCCATGAAAAATATTATTTTAACAGAAAGAAGGAAATAAAATTGGGAAAAATAAAAACTGTAATAGAATAACTTCAGATAATATCCAGCAACATCTGGAGCAGTAGGCAGATGGACTGGAATGTTACAAATCAGGGTCTACTTAAAATCAGAATTATGTAAAGGTATTTTTACCTTTCCTAAATATATTATTTCTGTACAGAGTTCTCAGTCTGGGAAATCTCAAAAGTAAACAGA